GAAAGCAGTAAAGACGGATCTCTTCTGGCAGGCCTTTCCGGAATAACTTCCCGGACACGAGGAGCCTGGCAAGCCGCCTTGATTTACTGTTCCAAATTGTGTCCGCTGCCTTGTTGTTTTATAATGTTTTATATTGTTTTAAAGTTTGTATATGGTTTTTAATAGAATATTAGTTTAATTCAGTTTTAAGGGGTGGGAGGGTTTGGGGATTGGGATTGTCTGTTTTTAACTCCTTATGTTTTAATTATGCTGTAACCCGCCCCAATTGCTTAGCAGAGGGGCGGGCTATAAATAAAAATTATTATTATTATTATATTGTAGATTCACCCTGCAACTCCAATTTTCTCAACTCATTCGTGTCACAAGATGGAGGGATGGACGAGTTGGTGGGTGGATAGATAAATAAATAGAGGATGACAGATAGATGGAGAAAGATCTCCTCTTCATAGATTTGCATACCACCATGTAATCCAGAAATGGAGAATTTTCTATTTCTGGTTTTCTAATATTTCCATTTATCAAGATTTCATGACTAGTCTCTATAGATGGAGGAGGCTCACCTTTTTCCAAAGTCTATTCTTTACATGAGAACAACAACATACCAGAAAGGGCTAAAACATTCTTTCCCTGCTGTGTTTACCAACTTTCATAGCACCTCAATAGGGCTGGCTAGACAATTAGATTTATAAAATCCAACTCAGCTGCTGTCTGTGATACCAACATGAGGCTGTGGAGCAACAAAAAGCAACTATCAGTCTGCTGGGGGAAATCCTAGGATTTGTATAAACAGAACAATCTTTAGGGAGCCAAGGTTTACCAAAAAACCAAGTAAATGTATTTTACGTATTTACAAATAAAAAAAAATCACAGCCAAGACTGTAAAAAATAAAATGTACACAATACACAAATATGCAAACACTCTTAAATTAATGTACACTCTTTATGTGATTCATGAAATAAATACTAGTGGTAGATAAAGAAATAAATAGAAATTAGTAGGATGCATTGTGGAAGGTTTACAGAAAGGGGTATATTTAACATGCATCTGTAACTAAGAATAGTTGGAGCATGCCAAATTTCAAGGGGAAGAGCATTCCACAAAGAGGTGCCACCATATTAAATTAAATGAATGACTCCTGAGTAAACCTCAGGAGTATGTGGCACAGTACTAGCAGGGCCCTCCAGATGACTATATGTGTCCATAAGAGAGAAGAAAATCAATCAAAATCAAAATCATAGCTTTGAAATACAAATCACTCTAATAAAATATCATTAAAAGGACCATCAAATATATAAATAAATCCCTTTATTTTGAGTCTGAAGATCCACAAAAATACAGTTGGCTCTCCACATTTATGGCTTTGACTTTTGCAGATTTTATTATTCGCAAATTTGATTAATGTGTTCTCTCTAGGAATCTCTAGGTCCTCCAGCATGACTCTATTGTCAACGTCTCCCAGAAGTCAAACTGGGGGACCTAGAAATTCCTAGAGAGAACACTTTTCTAGGCATTTGTAGGTCCTCCAGCATAATTTCATTGTCAACTTCTAGCAGATCTTGATGACAGAGTTGCCCTGGAGGACCTAGAGATTCTTCAGGTAAAAATAATAAATAGTGTCTTTTATTTGCGGTTTTTCCACTTTCACGGGAGTCCTGTGCCCCAACCCCAGTGAATGTGGAGGGTCCACTGTACATTGTTAGTTGACAATAAATTGGGGCCAACTACATGACTGCTGGATGTCAGAGAGATGCCAACAAGAAGGTCCTGCCTTGGTGATTCCACAGATCACTAATATTCCAGTTGTCCCTTCATATCCACAGATTTTTTTTATCCATGGATTCAACCATCCACAGCTTGAACACATTCAAAAAAATAAATAAATTCCAAAAGCTAACCTTGATATTCCCATTTTATATTTGTGGCACAATTTTACTGTGTCGTTGTATTTAATGGAACTTGATCATCCATGGATTTTGGTATCCATGGGGGGGGGGGGGGGGGGGCCTGGAACCAACTACAGTGGATTTGGGCCCAGTGACTGCTGATCTCAGTGGGAGCAGAAGCTGATCGGACTGTAGTACTACTAGCTGCTGTTTGCTTTGCATTTGGAGGTTTTTTTGTTCTTCATGTTCCTTGAGGGAGGGATATTTTGGGATATTGTGCTGCCCATCATAAATCTAGAAATACCGCCATTTCTGCCTTTCTTGGCTTTCTTATGACATGCCCCTGGCTTTGCAATTGAAGGAGTTGATAAGGTGTTAGCTGGACAGAGTGGTGCACAGACATTTGGCAATGCTATTATGGAAAGCTGGATTTTGAAGCATTCTGACAATGCAGCCAGGATCTGCTTCTAACCGCATTGACAAAAGATCCTGATGTTCTACTAAACATTGCCAGCAGGGGCTCCCGCAGTGTCCTATTAGTAAGTCTACAGAACTCTGCAGGGTTGCATTCAGCAGCCTTTGCAAGCAATAATGGAACTCCTTTTTCATTGATGTGAATAAGATCAAGATGCTTCAGTTTATTTATTTGTTCAACCTATGGCTGTTGTCAATATGTCACTATGTTTTTTGTCATTGTCTCATGTTATTGTTTGTGTATTTTCTATAGGGGCATGAGTCCTCCCTCTAGGTTGTTTTAATCTGGGAGGAAAAATTTTCAGTACTGGCCAGATTAGGGTGAGCAATTGTACCACTCTAAATGTTATTAAGCTGCAATTCCCATGAACCTTTAATACTAGTAATGCTGGCTGGGAGTTGAAATCCAACATCTGGAGAGTTGCAATTGCCCATCTTTGGACTGTGTGCACAAAAGTATCAATCATGCTCAAGATATACTAAAAAAAAATGATATATGTCAGTGGCAGGAACCATGTTCTAGGGTGATGTGTGCAGGTTTGTTTACTGAATTGTGCTGCATCCCAATAAGGGTGTGAAAGATTTTGGATCCTTTCTGAAACATCCTGTTCAAACAAAACAGCAGTCAAAGGGGCTGATCAGATGGACCAGGATACAGTGCTCACCCACACTGGTCCCCAGACTGATATGAGCCACAGCCACCATTTAGTATGGAAAGCAAAATGGTGGCTGCGGTGCACGCGGTGGCAGCGGGAGCATCGGTGGGGGGCAGTGACAGGGGGCAGGGTCGGGGATCGGCAGGGGCAGCGTGCACGTGGGTGTTTACACACTCATCCCTGCTCCAACCCAGGACCTGTGAACGGTGGGCATGTCTTACCTTCCTGCCACATTGCTTGTATTGAGAAACCCCCTATCACCCTGTCTGATGTAGTCCGGCATCCCATTTCCATGTCAGATGTAGCAA